CGCAACGGAAATCTATAGAAACTAGCCTTTCCCTCTCTCGTTCGTTTCTCGTCGATATTAAAAACATCAGTCTCCGGATGGAACGTCGAAGGAAGCTTCCCTCCTTGCCAAAGGAAAAGGATTCTTCCAGGCGATATCAATTAGCCCGGGTATTTCCTTATTGGACGGTAAGCGCAGGAATTTGTTTTTGGCGGATGGTAAACTGATTCTTTGGGAATTAAGTCTGGGCGTCGATCTAGATTTCGTGAGGGAAGATTTTATGAAAAAATACGAGACATATTTTCAGAGCAGACGATTCAAAGGATATCGTATATATTGGAAATAACATTCTAAGATTCTTTGGCACAGTGTCGATCATTATAGATATTACTGAGCTTTGTTGTTTTCAATCGATCTAGATGTTAAAAGGAAAGATTTTGAGTGTTCGTACTCACCTCTAGTTTGGAGGATAGTCATATTGAACGTGAAAGATCGCACATTTCAAAGAGAAGGTGAGATTCTGAGGTTCGTCAGAAATGGTGTCGAAGATATTTCTTTGAAAGACGATAAATTAATTCTTCAGATATTCAGGTATACGTTTTCAAGCGTTTGCTCGAGAAAAAAAAGAAAATTAGAATAAGATTTGAAATATTTAAAAAAATGTTTTACGTTTCGAGGAAAAGATAAAATTCTACGTACCTGTTGTCACAGAGGATGAACTGCCTCTTCTGGATCTTCAGATCCAAATGGATCAAGGTGTGAAAAAATGTTTTACGATGTTTAGTAATAATAGTAACAATAACGACTTTATTGCCACATACATAAATAGATGGACATGGCCGATATACAGCGTGCAAGCTGGATCACACAACCGGATCCTTTTACAGTGAACTACACTTGCGTCTCCCTTTAACCGCAAAACACGCTCCAAAATAAAGGTTCCTCTAATCGCGACGTGTCACTCTAATCGGCGTGTCCGAAACCGAGCGAAAATACACACACACACACACACACACACACATACACACACAGATCTTTTGCACGCTAGAAACTATAGTTTTAACGCGGCAAGGTACATCTCTTCATACGTTTTTCTCTCTCTTTTTCAAATAATCCTCTCTCTCTCTCTCTCT